ATTACCTTGTGATATTTTACTAATTGTTATCATGTGATGATTTAGGGTGTTATGCCGTGCCCCGCGTGATGATTTTCCGTGCCCCAACCGAAAAGTCTACGGACAGTGCTTAGGGACAGTGATGGGTTGGACAGTGATAATCGGACAGTGATGGGTCGGACAGTGTATAATTACGTGATTTATGGACAGTGCAAATTCATAGAAAATAACGAAACTGATATTTAAGAATTTTTGTTTAAATATTTATGTTGTGTAATAATAAATAAATCCTTAATGCTTTAAAAATAATTTAATTTCCCATTTATAAACTTGCATAAAAATATTAAATATAAACAATAAACGTTACTGCTGAAGCTACGTAGAAATGGCCAAACCAAAATTGGGCTTATTTTAATATAGAATATCAAAATTTTCTTGTATGCATTTTTTTACTCTTTGTTTTTTTAGTTAGGATAGGAATAAATCAAAATTATCGTTTTGATCTCAATTACACTAATCGTTAGATCAATGCAAATATTGTACATTTTCATTCATAGGTTCTAAATTGTTTTATAATATAATAATTATTATCAGCTTAAACAAGAATACGCTATGGCAAGAATTTGATCAATACTTAGAAATTGAAGATCATTACCCAGTAACTCTGAAACTTGCATATAAAATATGCCTTATGACAATCATCTTGGAAAGGCAAATATAACTAAAAAAAGAAATATGAGCGATTGTCAATATAGTTGCAAAAGGTGGCGAATCTTAAAATACTTATCCGGGAAAGCTTATATTTCATTGTCATGCATATTGAAAAAGGTTTTAGAGTAACTGGAAAATTATTCATAGTGAAGGAAGAAGTAGTTTAATTATCACACTGTAAATATGAATATGAGAAACATAATGAATATCTTACTAGTTTTTTTAAACTAAGGTTTTGTGTTTGAAACTTCTAGCTTATGAAAAAAAAAAAGCCAAATCTTAGATTAATTTTTTCAAATATAAATTATACAAAACTGTATATAGCGCAAAGTTGAATTCTCATAGTTCTTAAATTAGCAGTAATCATATAAAGAATAAAACACATTTTTATAATATTTATCTCTTTTCCTGTAATAGTCATGTTGCCATTGCAACCAAAAATCTCAGAAATCAGTAGTGAATTTCCAATAGTAAAAAGTTTTAAGAAAGCTGCCCAAGAAGGTGCTAAAGTAGCAGGCTTTGCTTTTAGTGTATCATCATCAAAAATGACATGTAGTAAAAAAGATAATCGTATACCTTTTGTTACTCTGCAGTGTACAATGGGAGGCAAATATAGAAATAACTATAAAGTTACAGAGAAAACTTGAAAAAGAGTTAAATCTACAAAATGCCAAAACTGCCCTGTCACATTGTATGCTGTTTTGGATAAGAAAGCTGAAGCTTGGGTAGTACAATCTTCTAAAAATCAACATAACCATAAACTTCTCTTACAATCACAAGTTCACTGTCTTTATCAACATCAAATTCTTAACCCAGAACAAAAAGAGACAGTTTATACAATGATTAAAAGTGGGGCATCAGTTCAATCAGTTGCTGATGCAATATATTGGAAACATAGTACAGTATATACAAAAGATATTGTTAATAAACGTGATAGAATTAAAAATGCTTTAAATAAAGGCTCAAATCGTAATACAACTATGTGACTTATGCAAATGTTAGAAGAGTGTCAGTATGTAGTTTGTTATATATTATCAAAAGATGGTTCTATAAGAAACTTGTTCTTTACCCATATTGAATCAGCTTACCAAACTGCTATATGTCCGGAAGTGCTTATAGTAGATGCAACGTATAAAACAAACTTATATAAGCTTCTCTTATAAATGCTATTGGCATCAGTAATATTGGTAATACAAAATCTCTTGATACCTATCAAATCGCAATAGCATAGGTAAAAAATAAGCAAGAATATACATATAAATAATTTTTAAATACTTTAAAAGAAATAATATATGATAAACTCTTTTGTACCCTGGAAGTATTTGTTTCAGATAGATCCCAAGCTCTTAGAAAAGCGGCAAATATAGTTTTTCCAGAAGCAAAAAAAATAGTCCATATTTGGCATATGCTTGCACAAAATCTAAGAACTATGTGCAGAAAGTTTTTTAACAATGAAGATGATTATAACAAGCTATTGTTATCAATTCAAAAAGTCGCTTATGCAGAAGAGATAAGTATAGTCAAAAAAGCATTTGATGAAGTAAAAGAAGCAGCAATGAAAAGTAGAAATCCTAAAAATATTCTGGCTTACTTTGAAGAATAGAAAAAAGATAAAGAATGTTGGATAAATGTCTTCACAAAAAATTATCTACATATGGGAGTTTATTTAACACAAAGAGCAGAAGAAAGTCATGGCTATTTGAAAAAAGCAATTGAAGCAGCAAGTGGGCTAGATCAAGTATTTTTACACATTGACTATGCCTTTCGCCAGCATCAATTAAAAAAAAATAAAGCTTTTGGTTTGAATATTGTTTCTATTGATCTATTTATACTTAATAATGAGAGATTTGAACAACTAGTTGGAAAAATTTCTAAATAGGCAATTGATCGAATTAAAATAGAAATATGTGAAGCTGAAGAAAATAATAATAATAATAATATATATAATAGTACCTGTGAATGTAGTTTGAAGTTAAATTTTAAACTACTATGCTACTACACAATTCCACTAACAGGACCTATTCCACTTTCTATAATACATTCATGATGGCTTCTAAAGTATGATTCAATGCCTATGTTGTCTTCATCCTTGTTGCCTGATATAGCCATTAATAAGGCTTTATATATGTTAAAAGAAAAATATAAAAACTTAAATAATTGTGGGTCAAAAGCTACATTTTTGAATAAAATCAACACTCTAATTGATAAAGAGATCGTAACTCCAAAAGCACTATTATGTATTAAAAATAGAGGCTGACTAGCTTCCACTAAACGTAATCTTCTACTCAGTGAATATCAAGATAAAGCTGCTAAAAAAAAAGAAAAAAAATGCATCCAAGCTTATAAAGAATTTGCAAAATTCATACCAACCACAACAGCTTTTATATCATGATAAAATACCTATTTATATGCATGAGTATATAAAAAAGGTAATCAATGTAAATAGAGATGGTAATTGTGGCTACAGAGCACTAGCAATATGTTTAGGAAAAAATGAAAATGAATGGTCAGAAATATGAAAAGAATTGCAAAAAGAGTTTATTGAAAAAGAATAATTTTACCGGATCTTGTTTTTAGCTAATGATGATTATAAAACAATTATAAGAAAAATCTCATGAGTAGATAGCCTCTACACATTCGAGCACTGGATGCAAATACCACAGATAGGAGATGTTTTAGCTAATACTTACCAAAGGCCATTATACTTTTTTTCACTACAGATTAATCTTACTTTTCTTTCACATTACCAACCATTAAATCAGAATGAAGCTCTTGCAATAGCTATTGTTAATAATAATCACTATGTAGCTATTACATTAAAACCTGGTGCTCCCATACCCCCAATTATAAATCGATAGTCACAATTTGCACCCCAACTGCAGAAAGATGGAAACTACTAATTCAAAACCATATCGACCAATTTTTTCTAATAAGTAGTTAAGCTTATAAAACAGATCTAAAAACGAATTAGTTACAAAAAATTAAATTTTAAATATAATAAAAAGTAAAAGTTAAAAATACTTTGTAGTTAGGCTTTAATTATAATTAAATAGAATACAATACCAGTAGTTAACTTTTATCTTACAAGTTTCATTAATAAT